GAAAGAAAGAAAGAAAGAAAGAAAGAAAGAAAGAAAGAAAGAAAGAAGGAAAGAAAGAAAACTTACATACTTCTAATATACTATGGCACAGAACAACATTCTCGTTCACAAAAAGAAAGAATGGGGCATATCAAGGAATGATCAAATCAATGAAGGACTGAAATTAGCAGGGAAAACACAAATCTGACAGTATATGCCCATCATCGAGAGCTCATGATGAAATCATCTGCACTTTAAAAGTTCTAGGTAGCCATGCCTCTCCAGCCCTGTGTCCTGCAGCACACACAGCCTCTCTCTTCTACCAGCTTCACTCCAGGCATAGAGCTTTTCATGGTTAATGTCCCATGGTCCAGCATTTACCAACATCCTGGAGTCTCCACTGCAACTTAGGCTACAACCTCAGAACTTCACCCACTGGTCTCTCTAGGCCTCTTGGCAGAGGCAGCAGCCAGTCTCTTAATTGCTGAATCAGCACTCCAGCCCCAATAATAGATTTTTTAAAAGGTGATTTATCAAGCCACTGGGTTTTCAGGGGTTGCTTTAGACCCTTTTTATTAGTACTAGTAGTCACAATGAAAATCAGGAACAGTAATAGAGATTATGATGTGATTATACAACGGAAGAAACTGAGGCTTAAAGAAGCTAAGCGACTGGCCCAAAACCCATTCCACTGGGAAACAGCGCAGCAGGGAATGTACAAGAATCCAGCTGGCCACTGCCTATGAATGTACCTTGTTTTACAAGAAGCCACTTCTGGGTTTTTTTTTTTTCTATCTGCTTCATTCAACTAAAGGCATGTTATCATCCAAGCTGATTTCATCATATGATCCATCCTAACAATTCTGACTTAACTGAATGAAATACTCTTTACTGACTCCAGTGTTCCTATAATGCTAATATTTGTGTGTATGTGTGTTCTTGTGATTTTTAAACATTCTCAAGCAACATTTATTTGGGTGATTTATTTTCAAGGCAGCATTAAGCCCTGAAGTTCTGTATGAGTGATTGTAGAAAAAAGTCACTATAAAAATAAATTCACATCATCAATCTCTATGTTCAGCTATGTTCCATCTTCTTGGTTAAATCAAAACATGACATGTAGAACTAGCATACTCCACAAGGTACATTGTGCCACTGTCAGATGACCACAATTTCAAGCCAAGCTTGACCATGTGCCTGCTGTCATGAAATGCTCTTGGTCATGAACTCTGTAAAACAAGGTTATTTTCATGACTAATTCACAGGAATGTTATCAGGAATAAACATTGATTCACTTTATATCATTATCACAAGTTACAAGGATGGATGCTATGGAAAAGACAACACTCTATCTTGAAATTTTCACTACATAAATAAATACATCTATATGTCAGTCTAATCCTTTTAGAATAAGAGTGTATTATTTAGATTCTAGTTATTGGGCTGCCAAGATGGCTCAGCAATTGCCATGTAAGCCTGATAACTTGAGCTCAATTCCTGCATCCCAAAAAACTGTGCTCTGAACTGAATATGTATATCAGGGCATGCACAGTTTCACTACATAAATAAATACATCTATATGTCAGTCTAATCCTTTTAGAATAAGAGTGTATTATTTAGATTCTAGTTATTGGGCTGCCAAGATGGCTCAGCAATTGCCATGTAAGCCTGATAACTTGAGCTCAATTCCTGCATCCCAAAAAACTGTGCTCTGAACTGAATATGTATATCAGGGCATGCACAGGTCACACACACACACACAAGCATAATAATAATAATAATAATAATAATAATAATTATTTAAATGCTAGTTGTTTCATAATAAAAGTAGAAGGGCTGAAGACATAACTCATCAGTTAAGAGCATTTGCTCTTCAATTGTGAGAACCTGAGTTCAGATCCCAGAATCCACAGAACAAACAACTGTAAACCCAGCTATGAGGGGCTGGAGACAGGAGGACTGGTAGGCTTGCTGGCTTTCAGCCTGGA